TCCTTCCTCCTTCCTCCTTCCTCCTTCCTCCTTCCTCCTCCTTCCTCCTCCTCCCTCCTCCTCCTCCCTCCTCCTCCTCCTCCTCCTCGTCCTCCTCCCGCCCGCTCCTCTCGCCGCCTGCCAGCCGTGCCCGCACCGCGCTCCGGCACCGCGCTCCGGCACCGCGCTCCGGCACCGCGCTCCCGCACCGCGCTCCCGCACCGCGCTCCGCCTCTCTCTCCGACACGCACCGCGCTCCGCCTCTGTCTCATCGTCTCATCGCACAGAGAGGGAAAGCAAAAGGGAAAGGGTATTTTGTTTACTGGGCAGCTTTGGGAACGTAACTTCTCGTTGTAACTTCTCGTTGCCGGGTACAGGAGCCCCTAAATCAACTGGCCAATCTTCTTTTGCTCGCCTCCTTTGTCTTCTTTATGTACTCCGCTTGCAGGCATGACTTCGGTTATTTGGGTGGAACCAGTTGGGCAATCTGCAGCGCGCTTGTTTGCCAAACTGAACAGTGACTTGACAGCATTTGACAGCAACATCTCAAAAAACTCACAATGTCAGAGCGATTGACCGCCGATACCGCCGCGATGTGTAGCCTGCAGGCACCAGGATCTCGAGAAATTGTTTGGTGCTTTCTTCGACATTATGAGCAGCACCCCGGCGAGCATGAAACCATCTGAGCCGACCATTAGCTTTGTGTGTTTTTGCATTGTGCTGAGGGTGGGATTGCCGAGTTCCACTGGCTCTGCATGGCCATGTCCACCGCCAGGATCGCCAGGCAAAGACACGACGAAATATGCGAGGGCGTGGCCATTTAGGTCAGGACGCCAACCATGTCAAAGTTCGTAGCTCCTGCGCAGGTCCAGCGTGGCAATGCCGGACTGAAGGTACCTTGAATTCCAGAAGTAGCTTTTCGTATGGTTAAGACCTGTGCTGCAGCATTGCTTGTCTGCTGATTGTTTTCTGACATCATGCATGCGTCCAAAGATGTGGACATGCGGCCATGCGTAAATGGCTTTTGAGCATTGCTTTCCTCAAGCTTACGTGGCAACTTTTGTTCTTGCGAGGTCATGCTTCCTGTTGGCAGCAATCTGTGCGCCAACCCGAACCTGACAGCCTCTGCAGCGCAACAGCTGCAGAAGGCCATGCTTTTGGGGAAAGGTCTGTGATTGTACATACAATATACATCGTGCCTCAAGCTTCTTACGTGGTTTCTCTGGAACCAGCCTTACAATAAGAAATCTAATCTGTTCTCAGTGTCGGTACACTAAGAGATGTTGCCTCAGTGAGCCTTTTGAACAAAGCCCAGGGTGCATCGGAGAGAAGGAAGGGAAAGAGGGGTGATAGAGTTAGCCTTCAATCCACGCAGGAGTTCCGACGAGGGAACAGGAGCCGACACGCGAGCATTCAGCAAGAGTTTACAGGCTGTCGTATGATACCGATGACACTTGACAGAGCCTTATCTGTTGTCCGGCAGGATGTTTGCCAAGATCCAGCAGAGGGAGGCAGACTGGAAACAAATCTTTTCTGTCTCAAAGTTTTTCGAGCGCATCCTGGCTGCATTTGTCAGGGTGCACGGTGCACGCCGTGTGTTGTGCATCGAAGGGAGGGGTGCCAGCCGAAATCATGAACTTCCTTCGAAGCATTGCTCTTGCCCATCTCTTGCATACTTTCTTTCTATTTGAACATTTGTGGAGCATCAATGATGTTCGCAAACGAGGCTACTACCATTACCTTCAGTTCGACATTACCGCCTCCAGCGAGGAGATCATGTTTCAGTGGTTATCATGGTGCAGACAACACCTTCAAGGTGTCTGCGGCAGGGTGGGGGGCTGGGGAGACAGGGGGGGGGGGGGGGGCGGCCGTTCAGTGGTTGGGAACGAAAGCGCCAGGCATTGCAGACATGCTGGAGACGGGCGGCAACTGCCACCTGATCACCCGGCCTTGGCCAGATTTTCAGCTTGCATGATTGACTGACCCGAGTCCGACAGGGTACTGTTGAGACAGGGTGCTCTTGCATCGGGACAAGGGTTTGCCTCCTGCAAAGGAGTGGATGCCCTTCAAGGACAGCAGCTAGCAGCTGCCGCGAGAATATACACCGACACATTCAATGGGAGGATCCTGAGAACTAGAGAGTTGGGTATTGAGAAGTAGAGCTAGGCTTAAACTTTGTGTATTCCAGGGAACGTGCAGACTATACAGATGCTGCGGTCTCTTAACTCGAGATAGTCTAAGGTGCAGGGCTTAACTTGCGGTATTGACTCAGGGAGGCTAGCTAAATGACTCAACAAAGTTCCGAGGTTCAGAAGTTTGGGTTAGGGGTGGCAGGCAACGGGCCTTGTGGCTAAGGCGGTCCTGGCCTGGGTTATGTGTTGGGGTTTAGTGGCAGCATCTGCTTTCGTCCCGCCGGCGTCGCCCGGCGGTACCTGCGAGCTCTCGTGTGCTCTTGGTCCAGGGTCTGGAAGCGATCTTCTTTGCCGAGGATTGGGGGCTCCTACCCTCAACCCTACAGCATGCTAAAGCCCCAAACCCCCAAAGCCCGCAACCCAAATGCCAGACTCGTCCAGAGTTTAGGGGTTTCATGTAAGGGTTTCTGATTTTTCCTCAAGCCCCAAAAAACCACGGCGTGGGCTTACGGTGTATGCAGTATACGGGTCGAGGTTTCGGGTTGAGGCAGTCAGTCCTGGGCAGGCCCCAATTTTGCCAATGATGCCCGAGTCTCACCGCATCCCGCGTGACAAAACCGCCAAAAAGCGCCCAAGCCCTACACCCTGCAGTACAACTGATACCCCTAAAGCCTATAAGCCCTAAAGATCTCCACTCTTGCTGCTTCGGCGCCTCTGCGAACTCCGAGTTGGGGTAGTTTAGAGTAATGGTCTGGGGCTTGGGTGTCTCAGGGCTTCAAGTCCTAAGCAGCTGGGATTCGACACTCAGGGTCTATCAAATTCGAGGTCTGCCTGGAGGGGTTTTGCTTTGCGCGTGGCTTAGAGATTGGTGGTTCAGGTCGTTTGTTGGCTTTGGGGTTGGAGGATAGGGCTTAAGCTGTTATAAGTCGCCTAAACCGCCCAAGCCATACCAGAAGCCCTAATGTTGTACTCGCCAAAGTATCCAGGGGTCCCCCCCAAACAAGTTTGGGAGTTTTGCCTGTCCTCCATAATCTGGGACGGGGTCTGGGGGAAGGGCGGGTAGGGATCGAGGTTGGGGGGAAGCCTTGAAGCTTGAGGGTCTAAGCTTTGCAAACCTGTTTGGTTCCGTGGCCAAAGAGCTGCGGACTAATAGGGAAACCGAAACAGTTTGCTAAAGCGAATGAGGGCAGCTCGTGGGCTACTTACTTACTCCCTTGAAAAACTGTTTGGGGGCCTGTTTCGTAATGAATGTTCAAGGAAGTTTTTGGCTCCTCCTCCCCCCCCCCCCCCCCCCCCCCCCCCCCCCCCGCTTCGCATAATTGCGGGTAACCCTTGGCAATAGGGCTACCCTCTATTTCTTCGGAAAAACGCATAGCGGGCAACGATGCTAAAGCGGGTCCAGCATTACCCGAAACACAGGGTTGCTGCCCAAAAAAAGTTGGCTTGCGAGACATGCAAGGCTTTTTTTGGGCCAGGTTTCCTGGCCGAAAAATAGCTTTCTTTGCCTTCGTTTCGCAGCGCCAAAACAAAAATTCGAAGAAGATGCGCGCACACATTATTATTGAAACGCGAAAAGCACTTGTTTGTGTGAAACACGAGCTTAAAAAGTTACAAAGCGCTCAACCTCGATCCCTACCCGCCCTTCCCCCAGACCCCGTCCCAGATTATGGAGGACAGGCAAAACTCCCAAACTTGTTTGGGGGGGACCCCTGGATACTTTGGCGAGTACAACATTAGGGCTTCTGGTATGGCTTGGGCGGTTTAGGCGACTTATAACAGCTTAAGCCCTATCCTCCAACCCCAAAGCCAACAAACGACCTGAACCACCAATCTCTAAGCCACGCGCAAAGCAAAACCCCTCCAGGCAGACCTCGAATTTGATAGACCCTGAGTGTCGAATCCCAGCTGCTTAGGACTTGAAGCCCTGAGACACCCAAGCCCCAGACCATTACTCTAAACTACCCCAACTCGGAGTTCGCAGAGGCGCCGAAGCAGCAAGAGTGGAGATCTTTAGGGCTTATAGGCTTTAGGGGTATCAGTTGTACTGCAGGGTGTAGGGCTTGGGCGCTTTTTGGCGGTTTTGTCACGCGGGATGCGGTGAGACTCGGGCATCATTGGCAAAATTGGGGCCTGCCCAGGACTGACTGCCTCAACCCGAAACCTCGACCCGTATACTGCATACACCGTAAGCCCACGCCGTGGTTTTTTGGGGCTTGAGGAGTTGGGGTTCGTGTGTGTCGGATTTTTGGGGCTTTGGAGGAAGTCTACGTTGCTAGAGTTTTTGCCAAGTCCCGAGCTCTTGAAGCGCGAAGCCTCACATAAGCTCCTCAACCGCAACCACAATCAATAAACCCATTACATAAACTCCTAAACTCTGGACGAGTCTGGGGTTTGGGTTGCGGGCTTTGGGGGTTTGGGGCTTGCGGGGTAGGGTTTAGGGTGCAGGGTAGGAGCCCCCAACCCTCGGCAAAAAGGATCGCTGCCAAGCCATGGACCTAAGCACACGAGGGTTGCCGGGCGATGCCGGCGGGACCAAAGCGGCAGATGCCGCCAAGCCCTAAACCCCAACCCTAGACACAAGCCAGCACCACCTTAGCCACAGGCTCGTTGCCCGCGACCCCTAACCGAAACTTCGACACCCTTTGGGCCAACACAAACCTTCCAAATCCATGTCGCAAACCCATATCTCCATACGAGAGTAATCTCGAGTCGTTTAGCTAGCCCCCCTGAGAAAACACCGCAAGTTTAAAACAAAATTGTCCATTAGAATCACGAGACGTAGAGACTGCAGCATCTTTGTAGCGTGTACTTTTCTGGAAGTAGTATATCCGAATATTCCTCAACTCTACTTCTGGATACCCAACTCTCGTTTTCAGTATCCTGCCTTGA